GGAATACTAGTCAACAGTATTGTAATAGCTTTGCGCAGTGACAGATAACTAATTTATTTTATTGTGATCGCTTTGTAAGGTACATAAAGTCGGATAACTATGCTATACACCGGAAACTCATATATAACGTTATCTATCAACTATACTTTAATAATAATAATAATAATAGTAGTAGTCTTTGGCTGTCTGTGGCTGACAGTGAGCACTGGGCTCCAAAATTCCAGGTACAGGAATTGTGCTGAGATATCTATGATGATGAAAGGAAGAAGTTCCCCATTGCCAACCTCAGCCATGCTAAGGAGGATGGTGGAAAAGGAAGAATTTTCCATAGGCCATGGAAAACAAGGACCAAAGAATTAGCTCCAATAGTAAAATCAGGGCTTGGTCAGCGAAGGTTCCCTATAACCAGGGCAGACAGCTTTCACAATGCCTACCCAGGCTGGTGAGAGGCTGTTTTGCCCATTCTTCCCCAAATGTTTACGGGGGAGGAAAGAAAGACAATAAAGGAGTCCACATACTTGAAATGTCACAAACAACTGGCTTGCCTCTAATTTAATTACTGAACTCACATATTTTCTAGAAACCACTATTTTCCTTCCATGAGTTGAGGCATCTGGGCCCCAAGGATAATTTTACTCCTTTTGCTTTGTCAATCCTCCCCACAGTCTTTTTCAACTCAGAAAACTGCTTGCAACTGTCTCATGGATTAGTTCAGATAAACAGATGAATGTCGGCCTTTTATCCAATTCATAATGAATATTACTGTAAAAATAATCAAAGCAAAATAAACTGATAATAAACTAAACTGCCTTCTAATGTTTGTTACTAATTAAAAATTAATTTAAGAGTCATAGCTTGTTGACAAAATTGAGGAGAACTGGCCTTGGTCCAAAAAACAATCATAAGGACAGAAGTTCATCAGTAAAATTTGATACAGAGAAAAAAGGGATGTTATATCAAATATCTATTGAACAATTTAACTGAAAAGAATTGATTCAATAAAAATAAATATAAAAAATTCAACAGTATTTATACAATCAAAATTAAGTAGAGTTCCTTATGAAATCTACAGAACAGCTTTCTACCAAACCCCTCACTCACACAATTTTTTTTAAAGAACTTAGAGGCAGTATTTAGACAATACTGCAGTGATAGATCATTTCAAAAGTTGATCTTCATTCCCTGTACTTCATTACCTGGCCCATTTGATGAGGTAAGGCAGATGGTTTAATAGACTGAAGGTGTAAAAGGAGTAACGGATAATTTCTGTGATTGTCCAGGCAATAACAAACAGAAGGACACTGTCTTCACTCTGTACCTGGAAGAAGAGGAAAACAAAAGCAAAAAACATTTGATAACAAAAAGCACTCACAATGTGCAGCCCCCACCCTGCCTGTCCCTTTAGAGAGCTGGGGGTTAAGGTATGTGGACACAGTCACTAGTCTCTATCCTCAGTCGCCACAGCACAGCACAGAAAGAGCTTGTCACATAAAGGAACTCACGCCTATGACAACAACCATTTAGAAAGCCAACGGGAAGAGGCAAGTGAGAAGAAACTCAGCTTGATGCAGGGACTGCGAATTATATGAACTGTAGCCCACAAAAAGAAATTAACCTGAGGAGAATGTGAACTGATGTTAGAGGGAACCAAGAGTGGTTAGATAAGGAGGGTAGGAAGCTTGGGATCCATTAACAAGAATTTTAATTTGATTTGCAAGATAACTAGGAACCTGAGGAAATTTCAAGGAGGGGAAATGTAATGATTAAAACAAAATTGAAGCCCTGGCCAGTGTTGCTCAGTGGTTAGAGCGTTGCCCCAAGCACAGGAGGGTTTCGGGTTCGACTGCCCATGAAGGGCACATGCCTGGATTGCAGGTTCGATCCCCAGCTCCTTCTCCCCTCCCCTCCCTTCCTCTCTCTAAAAATCATTGGAAAAAATATCCTAGGGTAAGGATTAACAAAAAAAAAAACAACCCTTACACAATTGAAGATGAAGCTAATTCACTGGGTAAGACAGATTCAAGTGGGGGAAGCGCTGGAGACCATCTAGGAGGCAAGGCCCATTTGTTCTTTCCCACGGTGATTTTGTCCCACAGCCTAGGCCCAGTTTAATTCAAGGATTAAAGAAGCTTCCATGCTGATCACAGGAAGTAGCTAAAGCCAGAAAAGCTTTGGAATGCCTAACCTCCTATGAAATTGTTTTCATGCAGAAAGAACAAACTTCTAAAAGAGCCCCTTAGGTGTTTTTTCTTTTCTTTTTTTTTTTTTAAAGAGAAGTTCTCATTAGATGCCTCAGACTGCAAATCTTGCATGAAAATCTATTACTGTGGTTTGAACTTTCAACACCTCCTTCCCACCCACCCCAGCTAAGTTTACCATGATCCTTGGTGCTTGAAAACCAGTCATAAGAAACAACCTCCCATTGCAGTTCACTTATGTTTTCTTGCATCCAAAGAGGGCAGTTAGAGTTGAATGTGAGGAAGAAATTCCACTGAGTAAACCAAACACATTTTAAGATGGATTTTAAGTCTTACTCCTAAGATCTGATACAACAAAGGTATGGCATTCTAACTTTAACTCTTGCTTCTTTGTATTTGCAATGTTAATAGTTTTTAGCACTTATATTCTTCCTCAGAAAGTGTACATGGAATGATCCACCTACACAATGAAATAAGCAGTCATTTACATACCTATTAACTAAATTGCTCTGACAAGGAATTTCATAAATGCAGTTACTATTCTCTAAAAATAATAAGAATTTTATATTGTCAAGAGCAAGAGTACTTTTTGTTTCCCTGGTGCTCTCATACTAGCCAAAGTAAAGTAAAGGCTAACATCTCTAAAGCTTTCCTGTTTCACTGTTCGGTCTGCCCCCAAATTCCTGCTTAACACCCATCTATACTAAAATATACTTTCAGAGCACACTTTGCTTTTTGATCTACTTTGTAATCCTCCTCATCTTAAGAGGATATGTTTTATAGTTTTGGGCTGAAGCCTTGCTTAAAGATCTCTGGGTTATAATATTTTGTGCTGTAAACGTCCTGAAGGATAAGAGAGTGTTTTATTCATTTTTTGATTCTCAAAAGCATTTTGTGCTTTTCACAAGTAGGAGCTCAGTAAATATTTGTAAAGCAAATTAATTCAGTCTTAATCAGGTCATTTCAAGATTCAGTTCCCTGCTTTTTGATACCTGACATTGGTTTCTGTGTCATCTTAGTGGCCTTCAAGTAGAGCGGTAACAAACAAGCCCCTTCCCCAAGACCTCCCACTCATCCAGCCTAGTGGTTACATGATTCACTCTCCCCTCCTCTCCCACCCGTGTTAGCCTTGAATCAAAAGAACTATAACAAACTCAGACCCGGGCTAAATGTGAAACCTTCCTCTGCCTGGTACAGTGAGCTGCACGCTGGACCCTCCAGGCTGCAGACGGCAGGTTTCCGTCCCCTGCTCTCCAGCGAGGGAGGAGGCGCTGGGCGTGGGTGGCTTGTATAATTTAGCCAAGGGAGTTTACATAAAATTCAAGCTGGAGAAACAAATGAGTGGAAGAGAAAAACCTTTCCACACAAACAGCATCATATGTTTGACTTTAAAAGGCTCAGGGAGTATCAGTACATGAAAAGCTGTCATTTTTATTACATTCAAAGAAAAACAGATGGTGCCACATAAGAAAATCACAATTGTAGAAACTCTATTCTTTTTAGCATTTTGGAACCCGCTGCTTACCACTCTGGTTATTGTTAAAAAAAAAAAAAAATTCCCTGATCATGCTTTATGGTGAGTGTTCCTTCCTCTTCTTAATACCCCTTTCATTTGTGAAGCAAGAGATTTTGGTAAAATCAAAGCGAGGACTAAAGTCTGTTTTTGGCAAAAGTGTGAAAAGTATGTTTACCTTAGTGTGTTTTGGCTGCCATAATAAAACACCACAGACTGGGTGGCTTAAACAACAGAAATGTATTTTCTCAGTTTTAGAGGCTCAAAGTCCAAGATCAGGTTGCCAGTGCACTTGGTTCCTGGTGAGGACCCTCTTCCTGGCTGGCAGCATGCTGCCTCATCACTGTGTTCCCACGGGGCGGGGAGAGGGAGGAAGCTCTCTAGGGTCCCTCTTAGAAGGGTACTAATGCCCAACCTCAGCTAAGCCTCATCACCTCCCAAAGGCCCCATCTCCAAATACCAACATTTTGGGGCTCAGGGCTTCCACATATGAACTTAAGGGGACACAATTTGGTCCATAGGAATGTTCCAGACCAGGTGCCAGCAAACTTCTCCTGCAAAGGGCTAAACAGCATATAATTTAGGCTTTGTGTCATATGCAGCCTTTGTCCTGTATTCTTCATTGCTTTTTACACCCTTTAAAAATGTAAAAGCCATTACAAATTTCAGGCTAGATTTGGTCCACAGGCCAACCCCTGTTCTAGATCCATTTGACTCCCCAACTTTCGCTTCCTGTTAACTCCTACAAATATCATTCTTCGGCCTTCCTTTGGTGGACTGTGTGTGTGTCTGTTGCCAGGGGTGGTGGGAGGATGGGTACTGGGTCAGGGGAGAGTAATATATCTATAACCAGTGGACACTATGAACACAGGAAGTACTTAAAAACATATATAGGCAAGTTTTTCATGTTATGTCTCCTTAGCCTCTCAGTAATCTCTTTTTGTTGTTTGTGGTAAAATGTACATAGCAAAATTTACCATTTTACCATTTTTACATGTATAATTAGCTGGCATTAAGTACATTCACCATGCTGTGCAGCCATCACTGCCCCTATCCATTTCAGAACTTGTTCATATCCTAATCAAAACATACACATTAAGTAATATCTCCACTTCTTCCTCCCTCTAGCCCCTGGTAACCACTATTCTACTTTCAGTCTTCAAGAACTTGCTTATTCTAGGTATCTCATTTAAGTAGAATCATACAATATGTGTGTTTCTGTGTCTGGCTTATTGCACTTAGCATAATGCTTTCAAGGTTCATCCATGTTGTAGCATGTGTCAGAATTTCCTTTCTCTTTACTACTGAATAATATTCCACTGTATAAAATACCACATTTTGTTTATCCACCTATCTGATGGACATTTGGGTTGCTTCCATCTTCTGGTGATTGTGAATGCTGCTGCTATGAACATGGTGTACAAATACCTGTTTCAATACCTGTTTTCAATTCTTTTGGGTATATACCAAAGAGTGGAATTCCTAGATCATATGTTAATTCTATGTTTAACTTTTTGAGGAACCACTAAACTGTATTCCACAGTGGCTGCACCATTTTACATTCCTACCAACTGCAACAACAGTTCCAATCTCTGCACATTGTCACCAAAACTTACTTTATTTTTTGTGTGCCAGCAGCCATCCTAATGAGTATGAAGCAGCAGCACTGTGTTCTGGTTCTGATACACTACTCCCTAGTGATTAGTGATGTTGAACATTTTTTCATGTGCTTATTGGTCATTTGTACATCTTCTTTTAAGAAGTGTTTATTCAAGTCCTTTGCCTAGTTTGTTTGTAAAAATAATTTATTTTTAATAATTATGGTGACAACAGCAATAAAAATAATTGTACTTAATAGTTACCACACTCTTAACATATGACTAGGATTTTATTTGCCTCATTGAATTCACATTTTACAGGTGAGAAAAGTGAGGCTTACAGAAGTTTGAACCCAGGTTGTGCCCTGAAACTAAATAGTTCTGACTTGTCTTCTTGGTCTTCAGGTCTTACACACACACACACACACACACACACACACACAAATACTTTTAGATATAATGTGTATGAGTATATATGTATGTATAACATGCATACATGTATGTATATGTACATATATACACACATGTATATCCTAGCTTTCTCTACTGAGAGGTCAAGAAGCAATAATAATTCCAGTAGCAAGGAGCAGCTCAACTACCCAGATACTGGTTCTTAAATATCATCCATCCTCATTGCTTCTTGGCCTTTTGGCTAAGATCAAGTCTAATGGCCTCAACTAAAACAAAGCAGGCTCCTTGGCAAAATGGCTGATTCCAGGGATGGGGCAGGCGAAGTACAAGATGAGTCTGGAAATCTTTTTTGTCAGAAAGTAAGGAAATGCTCAAGGAATGACGGAGACAAGTCAGAAGGCCAGGAGAAAGGCCTTCCAACGGCCAAATCACAAACAATTTTAGCATCAAAGTAAATCACAATCTACTGGATTATATAAAAATTAACGAGTCCAAATTTATGTGAATAAAATAAATGAATAAACAAAAGAGAGAAAGGAAAAGCTATTCCTTACAGCAGGATGCCAACTAGTACATGTAAGAAAAATGGCAGAAATAG